ACCGGGCGTGAATGTAGTAAATTGTAGTTTAAAAGGCCATTTTAAGATTCAATCAGGTTTTAAAAACTTTTCTCATTAAAAGTTAGAAGAATGAAAAGTGTTGTGGAAGAAAGAGTAAGACAAGCACTAACATATTGATATTGTTTGATCCAAATGCTAAATGACCCATAGGCCAACACGAATACTGCAAGTAAATTAAGCTCTTCTTTGATTACCAATCATATAAATATCATCTTTTTGCAACAACTAACCTATATCCTTCGTCATTACTTGAAGGATTTATCCACATTCTAAATCTCCTTCTGGAGTTTACTCAAATAATGCTTTGATTGATAAGTGTTCGGATAATAAAGTTCTACACATATTTCCATACATTTCCTTATAAGTTGAAAGTCAAGCAGAAACAGTTTCAAAAGTTCTACATACACTAAATAGCTTCATCCCAATCAGCAGTTACAAAGAGGTCTTTGCTTTACCAAATTTAGTAGTTTTGAAGGATTTATCCACATTCTAAATCTCTTTCTGGAGTTTACTCAAATAGTGCTTTTATAAGTGTTGGGATAATAAAGTTCTACAGGTATTTCCATACATTTCCCTATAAGTTGAAAGCAAAGTAAGAATATTTACAGAAGTTCTACATACATTAAATAGTGTCCAGGTGCGAATTATTTAAAGTTTTGGTTAGAAGGAGGGGCACTTAGTGGAAGGAAGTTGCTTAATCGAGGAGGGTGTTTAGTAAGAATTAAATTATAAACTGTACTTATTTAGCAGTTAAGTTGAAGCTTAAAAAGTCATCAATAAAGTGGTAACAGAATCAGGTTTTCCTTTTATTTAGGAATGTGGGAGAGAAGCAGAAGTGATAATTCAGCTTGTTTGATATAATGGCCTCGGGGGAGCGCACTTCTTAGAACGTGAGCACTAACATGAGGAAATACAGTAGTTGATCATAGTATTAGACTGGAAGATGCTGTGGCATACTACTGTTTAGTTGAAGAAAATTAACTAGTCTAAGGAAATTATTCACTGACGTTTCTGCTCCAGTTTCTGAAGACAAGAGCTTGGAATGCCTGTGCTCACAGCTGTCATTGAAAACACTCCTTCACAGGAGCTTTTTGTTTACCTAAAGGATACTGCAAGTAGACAAATATTACATACCTGCTGCTTGCACTACTTCCTTGTCTCCCTGTGTCTGTCCTCGTGTTTCACTTGAAGTGTCTAAAGCTGCATAGAATGAAAACACTGAAGTTATGATCATGACCTTCTTTAAGTACTATCAATGATGATTTTAGGTCAGTGAAAATGAAAGAGGTTTTCTATTGTTAGCATTGAGTGGAAATGGTCATCTCAGAGTACTTGGTATATATTAAGATATATATTATTATTATATATATATATATATTTTATATTAAGACCGAGACTAGAATATCTTAATTTTAAAGAGCTTTTAATTTTCTTATAATTGTGCAGAAAACTATATAGTTAAGTCGTTGTAGACTCAGTACACAAAATAAAGAAAAAGCTGGCTTTTTTCACCTGTTGGATGACAGTATGAGCAATCAAAATTATCCCTGGGTTCCAGCTGATTAATTAGAATTATGTATAACTAATAAAATTTTAAAAAGGCAATTAATATACATACCTGCTGCTTGAACTTTTTTCTTGTCTCCTTTTGTTTTTTCTCTTGTTTTATTTGAGGTGTCTTGATCTGCAGCGAAAACTGAATTAAGATAGTCATAAATTGCAACGCATACACCTCTTTAATATATAATAGCCCTATGCAGCCATTTTTCTTTTTTTAAACTGTTTTCATTGTTTTGTACAATTTATAATTCCTTGGATCATTTCACTACTACAAAAAATGTTGGATTGGAAGAATATTTGTTTAGTAAAATTGAACAACAAGCTGATTTTGGGTTTCCAAGAAAATGTCGCCTCAAGGAACTATTAAAATCATAAATGAATAAAGGGGTAAGTTTCTAAAGAAACTGTGGTGCTGCGTCGGTGGGAGAGTATAGCAGGTAATTTAGTGTTAACAACTGGGTTGAAAACGTAAATTAGCCACCGTAAAGGGTAAAAAAGCTGACGTTTAGCCCTTCGTCAGAGCGATATCGCTCTGACGAAGGGCTAAGGGTTTGTTCTGCTGTTTTATCTGAAGTGTCTGGATCTCATACACAGAACAAAATACAAAAGTAATGCATTTACATATTTGTAAGGCATGAGGATAGGAATAAGAATTTTTCAGTTTAAACATTGACACCTGAACCACCCATAACTGCCCATGCCATGTGGTGGACAAGAAATGATCCAATATTTTCAAGTCTAATAATTTCCGTACCTTTCTGATTATGTTAGACCTTCTAGATCACAAAAATGAAAAGTAAAAATGCTATAAAATATTCTGCCTTGAATATAATAAACATCCAGGTCTTAAAAGCAGTAAAATAAGTTTTTGACTCAACAACACTGATTCCCTTAAGATGCAAATTGAGGCTGTAGAGTGAAAACAAAGGACTTTAAGCAAGGCCTAATGACATTCTGAAGATTCTAAGGCTCAGTAAATATTGTGTTTGAGTAAAGAGATGTCAAAAAAGTATTGTTTAATAGAAGATTTTGTGTCAAAACATAGAACTTTCAGAATTTTTACCATAATGCTGTGCAACATTAACAGAAAATATCAGCAGACTTCTATACAATCCTTCAACAACACTTAAGCATTAAATGTTACATTAGTATTTTATAACTGCACCCTCTGACTGTCAGAAATCTGTTGTACAGCTCAAACAATATCATGCAGGCTAATTTTTCAGAAAAGAACCAAATTAGGGCATAACCTACAATGTTACATGTTCATTCACCCACCTGGTGTAGACTCACTTTCTTCCCTTTCATCTCTTTTCCTAACTTCTGAGCCGCTGTGTGGAAGATCACCTGCAGAAAGTGAGGAGAAATATTTATCAGATAAGCCAGTATCATTGCGAGCAAACATACTTATTTATTATCTACCAATAATTTTAAGCTTCAACATCTCCCTCCTCCTGCGCAGCCCACAGGCAAACGTCTGGGAGGTTGCCTAAGATGTTACTTGTGGGAAGGATGCTGAAGCTTTGAATTGATGGCACATAATGGTTTGCAAAATTTTAAATGACACAATTCTACTTATGTCACAGAATTGTTACAATAATGTGTATGCTGTAAAAAATTCATGAAAATCTTAACTTTTGTAAATAATATGAATTCTTTAGATCTAGACCAGTACCCTTCCCAGCAAATATTGCTTATTGTTCAAGGATTTTACAAACATTATACAAAACTTACCAGTTCCTGTGAAAACCTCCTTCCTTTGTGTTTGTTCTTTATTGTTTGAACTGCATGGAGCCTTTTCTAGAAATAAAGAAAATGAATAAAGCCACTTGAAATTAATTTTAAATTTTAGGATACCATACTTCCTCCAATAAGTGCCCATGGGGGTTCGAAGGAGAAATTACCAGAAGGATTATGCTTAATGGGACGAATTAAAAACAACAGATAAGACACATAATGCTTTAACCCCTGAGAGTGACTAGCATCTAATTTCTCCTTACCATATCATCCCCAAAATCACACATAAAGGTCACAAGAACAAATGAAATTATCGCCATCAATTGAAGCTCCTGATTATAAAACAAATTCTCCTCGTCATCCCTTAGGATATTTATTGAGAACAATATGGAGAACAATATGGGGACTCTGCAATCACATGGAGATAGGAATAACTGAATGGAAAAGAAACTGCTCTCCTGCACTGATTGAACTATAGGTGAAGTTTAAAAAGTTATAAATGAAGTGGCAATAGAAACAGGTTTTCATTGTACACCTACTATTTTAAAAGTGAGGAAGGAGGGAGGGCAGTTATTGGAGGGGTTGCTCATTTGAAATTATTATCCCAATCAGCAATTACACAAACATCTTTGCTTCACCAAATTTAATACTTTTGGAAACTGCATTTCCTTGAATAAGTGCTCAGGCGCAAATCATTTAAAGTTTTGGTTGAAAGGGGGGCATTTGGTGGAAAGAAGTTGCTTAATTGAGGGTGGGGGTGTTTGATAAGAAACTCTAAGTTGTACTGATTTAGCTGCAGTTTAAGGTTAAAAAGTTATGATTAAGGTATTAATAGAATCATATTTTCCTTCCTATTATTTTAGGAAAGTGGGGGTGCATGATTTTCTAGGGGGAGCTTATTGTACATATTAGCCACAAGGAGGGCGCTTCTTGGAGCATGGGCACTTGCATGAGGAAATGCTGTAATTGGCCATAGTGTTAGACTGGAAGATGCTGTTAATCCTATTGTTGCAGTCATGAAAAGCTGATTTACCAGATATTTTTTGTTCTTTTAAGACCTCTTCTGTGGCACACTTGATTCACTGATTTGTTCCTTACAATTTTCCTGACAGTTACATTCTTAATGTAATTTATTCCTGAATGTAACATGCAATGTAAAGTTTAGTCACCTGGTACACACTCATTTCTTAAAGTTGTGGCTAAAAGGAGGGGTGCTTAATGGAAGGAATTCATTTAATCAGAGGGGTGTTTAGTAAGGAACTATTATAATAAACTTTACTGATTTGGTTGTAGTTGAAGCTTAAAAAATTTATAAATAAAGTGGTAATTGAATCAGGTTTTCTTTCATTTAGGATTGTGAGAGAGAAGGGAAGGGTGATTGTTCAATGCAGGGGGTGGGTCGAGTTCTTGTTTAATATATTGGCCTACTGGGGGAGGGGGCTTCTTAGAGCATGGAGCATGGGCACTTGTATGAGGAAATACAGAAGTTAATTGTAGAGTTTGACTGGAAGATAATCGTATTGTTGCATGCAGCAATAAAAAGTTGATTTACCAGATTTTTTAAAAAATTTTTCTAAGAATTTTTATGTGGCATACCTGATTTACTAATTTGTTCCTCATAATTCCCCTGACAGAATACAGTCTAATTACAATATTCCTAAATGTAACATGCAATGTAAAGCTTACTGACTTGGTATAGACTCTCCATGTTTATTCCTCTCTGTTTCTTCACAGTCTAGAGAGCTGTGCAGAGCTTTACCTACAGACAGTAAAAAGAAAAAGAATTTATCTGAGCAGTCCAGCCAAAGCTCCCTTGAAAAGTGTCATAAATAAACTCAGAATACCCTCCTAGGAGGAGAGTCAACATTAAAATTACTGTACTGTACCACTAAATTTTTCAGTTACTAATAAAAATAGTATTACTGAGTCTAAAAAAGATACCAACCAGGTTGACCATGCTCGTTCAACTTTCAACAGTAGCTGCTTTATGTCTTGAGTAAAATAATTACAAAAAGTATTTCCCATGTAAATGCACTTTACCAAGTACATAAAACTCTGCAGCAATGTTCCTAATCTTGTGAATTAAGATGATTACATGACACTTATGTTTACCTTTCCCGACTACTCACCATTTTTGACTATTTGTTTGATTCAGGTCTATAAAGAATTTATGGTTGTCATAGGTTCAAGTTGACTCAAGGCTGATTCAACTTTCTACCAGACTACTTGGTTTATCAGATATTAGACAAGTTAAGGCTGTAACATTTCAATTTAAGTAAATTTACCTAAGACAAGGTTCTTCATCTTTATAACAAGACTTTTACAAGGCTCCTCCCAGCTATACTTCTCCAAGTACTTTTCACGTAGAAGTCTTGACTCTGAAAGTCGCACGTCTCTCTCTTTCTGACGGACACGCTTGATTTCTCTAGCCCAGTCTGTATGATCTTCAGAGTCTACCACACTCTGTGAGCCGAAAGGCACTTTCTTCAGAGCTTCTCCAAGTCCTGAATTACCACTGACAAGTACAGGCAGACCAGCAGATAATGCTTCCAGAGCTGTTGTTCCAAAACCTTCTGTCCTGGATGGCATTATTGCAAGATCTACTTCACAGAATAAGTTTGCCAGCATTTTTCTGCTATCATCAAAGCTGCAAACAATAAGCTGATTACGACTAATGCCATGGTGGAGCAAATTTTCTGCTAAAATATCTTCTTTTCCTCCAGCTGCACAGACAAACTTGAGTTTGTAGGATTCATCTTTCAACTCAGCAATTGCTTTGGCAGCTATGTCGTACCCTTTGACTTTGAAATCTTCAGAGCTGTCACCACTTCCAATTAAAAGAATACGGAATGTTCCTCTTTGTTTAGTGGCTTGCTCTAATGCTAAAAATTCAGAGAAAATGCTTGGAGTAAGGTCAAAAACTTTTTCGTCCTGTTTAACTGGACAAAGGTAACACTTGTAAGCTTCTGCCAGCTTGGGTCCAATTGTGATAACTTGATCAGCCATTTTACAGAGTTGGATTTCTGTTTCTTGCATTTTTTGACCTTCTGAAATGTTTTTGTACATTCCATCTTCTTCAGGAGCAGAGTGAACAACTTGAATCCATTTGCAATGACTGTAACTTGGATTTCTCTTCATGGATGCAATTGGTCGGCCAAGATGAACTCCATGACCAATGACACAGTCTATTTTATGGTCACTCGGAGGAAAGGACAGGCAAAGAACTGGCTCATAGCCAGGAACTCTATCTGCTTTGACAAGCTTCACATTGTGACTTTCTGCACTGCTCCTGTCCGCTTCACTGCAATTTGGAAGCAAGACACTAACATCTACATTGGGGTGTTTAGCTAACTGGATGGCCAGCTCTCGGTTGATAGTTGACAAGTCCCCATTAATTGATGATTTCCACTCACTACTTAGCAAAGTGACTTTCAGTGTCATGTTTTCCTGGTCGTCCTGTGACATACAGGCCACTCTAGGAATCATGAGATCCTACAACAACAAAAGAAGAACAGTATTGAAAATAAGCTGTAAAACAATAATAAATCACAATAAGGCACATCCACTCAATATGTAATGTCAATTCTTTTGTAAACTTACACTTAAGTTTTATCCTTTGCCAAAAAGTCAGGTACATGTAGATTGAGACAAATTTAAACCAGGAAAATATTAAGGTGCCTTGGAGATGACTGCATTGTCACTATCACTGATAACAACCTTAATTCTTACTTTAATCAAGTTTCAGATTTACTAGTAGAATGACAAATCTGAGGTAGTCTTATAACAAAATACAAGACTCCTTAAAAATAAGCCACCTACTATTACATCTACAGAATTAACTGAGTAATAAAACCATCTAAAAAATCATTAGTGCAAAATGTCAGTTATAAAAGACATGCCACATGAACACTTATTAATAAAATTATTATAAATGGACTAATGATTTAGTAAAATACAGTGTAAATTTTAAAAAATCTACATTAAACTTATCATGATAAAAGGCCATCAGACTCTTACAAAAGATCAACAAGGTATTTGAATCTCTTATACTAAGAGGTAATTCCACAAGCGACAGATTCAAACAAAAAAAGAATTCTTAAAGACTTCAGTCCCGCTGAAAGGGACATCAAGCATTACATGATCAATGTTTCTCAACAGTTTGATACAAGGGCGAAATAATACATAATCGAAGATATTTACATGTATAACTAATATATATTCTTAAAACACTTAAAAAAGTAAACTACATGTAAGTCATTCATTTCTCTATGATACTGCAAAGGTAATAAATTTCATTTACTAAGGCGCTCGTGCTCCGAATAATCCCCACCAAGAATGAATCTTGTAGCCCTGCATTAGACCTGTTCCAAACTGTTGATGTTTCGTTTGGTATGAGGTGACCATACCAAAACATCAACAATTTGGAACAGATCCAACGCAGGGCTACAAGATTCATTCTTGGTAGGGATTACTCAGAGCACGAGTACCTTAGTAAATTGAATTTATGGGTGACCCTAAAAGCCGGATCAGCGGAATGGCGGAATGGCGGAATGGCGGAAAATGACCCCAAATCCTAAAGCACGGAACGGCGGAAAATAACCCCAAATCCTAAAGCACGGAACGGCGGAAAATGACCCCAAATCCTAAAACACGGAACGGATGCCAGGGCATGTTGCACAAATTTTGTTCAAAGACACCAAGCGCTTGGCTCATTTATCCTCACGACGATAACGCGCGTGACTAAAATTAAGTGTTACTAATTTTTTTTTTCTTTTACTGAGTGGTATAAATAATAATGAACCATTATGCATGAAAGATAGCTGCGTTTTCGCGTTGTAAACCTGTTTAGTTACCTTTTGTTATGCAAAATTTGCTTAGGGCTCTCATGGCGTGAAAAGACAAAAGAAAGTTAGCAGAAGGAAGCCGTCAAGAAGGATTTGAAGAATTTCTTCGCGACCAGGTGTCCAAAACACTACCATCCTTAATTTAAAAGTGAGAATGATGTTGATTTAAAAAAACTGGAAATAATTTCAGCAATAACTAATATTAACGGGACCTGTCTACGAATCATGTTCACACAGGTTTCGTCTTATAACATAAACAATGGTTGACTCAAGCGAAAACTTTTTCTTCAATTGCTTACATAAAAACACAAACTCCGAGGTATTTGAAATACTATTACTTTTCTATCATTATAAACCAAACTGAGCCGAGCGGGCTTGAAAAGTACTGCATTTCCTCGAATAAGCACCCGAGCGCTCATCTAAATTTTTGGCTAAAAGAAGGGGCTCTTACAAGGAGAGAACTTAATCGAGGGGGGCACTTAATAGGAGATTATTAACCTGCATTGATTGTGCTGTAGTTGAGTCTAAAGGCGTTGGGGGTGACCGCTTATTCGAGAAAATACGGTAATTATGGCCTCGTAGCCACGATTGCGCAGACTGTTCATAGACCGAACTCGCATCGTAAATGCCAAAGATGAATGTCATCCATCACCTCCTTGTCAGCATCCGTTACTTCCACCGACGGATAATACTTTTTGCCGTGGGCGTTGCGAATGCAGGACAATTTTGAATGATAATGCACTGGTTCCGGCTTGATGGACATCTTTCTGTGTATTTGCTAGTTGAACGTGTGACGATAGTTTTTTTCGCCCAAACTGGAGGACTGAATCTTCGCGGACGGAACAACAACAACTGGGGGAAATAACTCTGTAGAGACGACTCGGCAGCGAGAACGGAAACTCGTCACTATTTCCTGGTACACGGAGATCTACTTCTAGTAAGCTTGTACGGACGTCAAGGATAAGACAATCTTTGGTTCCACAGTACTTTTATTCTAGGTCAGGCCAACAAGCGACATGACCTCTAGCATACTCTAGCTTGTAATCATCAAAGCTGTACAAGGTACTTGCTTAAGAAGTAACTGGTGTGAACTGCTATTGTTACACAAATCGCAATATTTGAATAAGGACACAAAGGAGCCGAAAAAAGTCTCTTTGAAGTTAAACGAAAACTACTTATCTTAATTGCAGTAGCGCAGCTCAGGAGATAAAAAACGGAAAAGCAATTAAAAGTTTCTGCTTATCTATGCAAGATTGGTTTGGAAACCATCGCATGAAAAGAAATTAAATTTACGAGTATAAACTCAGCTGCTGTCTACCATGAAAACCAATGTTTCCAGAAAGACCATTAACACCTATATTTACCTAAAAAACCATGTAATAAATGACAAAAGTGCCGACAAGCAGGTGCACATGATGAAAGCGAGTAACAACAAAAATCTATTCAAAAGCTACTGTGGTTTTTGTACATTTCATTTAACTACCAAAGAAAAAAAACCCGAATAACCGAATATTCCAAATGTGAAAGTATATGAATATATATGTACCGAATAACACACACGGGAAAATCAGTAAATTTTCCCGTAACAAACGCTCGGACTGGGGATTACGTTTTTACAAGCATATGAGATATTATTGTTTCAATAAATCAATACAGACGTGACCAGGAAACGTATCAAAGTTACAATTGTTTATTGTAATGTGGTATGTCGAGTTGGTTTTCACATGCTGTGCGACTTTTTATGCCGCGACTAAATCTCATGGCAAATTTTGCTTAACAAAAGGTAACTAAACAGGTTTACAACGCGAAAACGCAGCTATCTTTCATGCATAATGGTTCATTATTATTTATACCACTCAGTAAAAGAAAAAAATTAATAACACTTAATTTTAGTCACGCGCGTTATCGTCGTGGGGATAAATGAGCCAAGCGCTTAGTGTCTTTGTACAAAATTTGTGCAACATGCCCTGACATCCGTTCCGTGTTTTAGGATTTGGGGTCATTTTCCGCCGTACGATGTTTTAGGATCTGAGGTCATTTTTCGCCGTTCCGTGTTTTGGGATTTAGGGTCATTTTCCGCCGTTCCATGTTTTAGGATTTGGGGTCATTTTCCGCCGTTCCGTGTTTTAGGATTTGGGGTCATTTTCCGCCGTTCCGTGTTTTAGGATTTGGGGTCATTTTCCGCCGTTCCGTGTTTTAGGATTTGGGGTCATTTTCCGCCGTTTCGTGTTTAAGGATTTGGGGTCATTTTCCGCTATTCCGCCATTCCGCCGTTCCGGCTTTTAGGGTCGCCCGAATTTATTACCTTTGCATTCGAAAGTAAAAATTATCCTTAAAAGGTCTTCCTTTTCAACTTTCTTTGAAATTGGTACATGTAATCTCACTAAAGAAATTTAGGTAAAAAAAAAACAAAAAAAAAGGGGGCAAATTAATGTTTTTGTCAAAATAAAAGGTTGGTATTTGTAATAAGTTTAGATTTCTCTTACTTCCTTTTGTAGTGTTGACATCACAGGTACCTTTTAATTTTGAAAAAATTATCCTGGAAAAAAATAATACAAAATGTGAGTTCACTGAGTTCATTTATGCTTTTTATTGTTAGTTTCGAAACGCGTTACTTGTGTACTTTTCTGTTAGGTTTGTTCCGGTCTATTATTTCTTTGTTGGTTAATGATTATTACTTAATAAGTTTTTTATTTCGATCAGTTTCATTTAAGCACATGTACCAGATATTATATTTCATATTTCATCGCTATAAGTTACTGTTGACGCCACCAATTTTCTCTGCTATCCATGTACGATCGGCTATTGGCGATTTACCTATAATCATTAGGAGCTAGCTAGACCAAAGTAAGTTTTTCTTTATTTCACATTTAAGATATTTGCTTTTTTTTGATACGTATATCAATTTATTTCTCGCTTTCAGTTCACTTTATAATCTCTTCATTGTTAATTAGACTAGTGTTACATTTCTCAGGGATATTTCTTAGTTTAGTATCTGCTGCCTTTTCTTTTAGTTCGAACCACACAAATTCAGTTACAACGTTACCATCAATCATTACTACGCTGTCTTCAATCCTACTTCCCCCTCTTCATCTGTGATTTCACATCGATCTCCTTATTTTCGTTTGTAATTTTGAATACGTACTTCATTTGATTAAACCATGATTTATATTGTGCGTTCGGATTGTCTTCTCCGCTACACTAGTAACCTTTGAAGGTTACATCTATTTCCTCCTAGAGTGTTGTTGAGCCCACTTAAGGAAGTACTGGAGGCTCATTTGACCTTTTTGGGAAGCTTTCATTTCTTCATTTATGTAAGATCATTTCCTATTTGCAAAATTTGACAATTGGAAAATGGCCAATTTTCAAAATGGGGAGTTATGTTTCCAAGGACAAATCTTGCTGCAAAAAGAGATAAGATCCTGGCATCACAACCATAAAGCCAATAACCACACATTGAATAATGTCACACCATGTTAATTTGAAAGTTGCTACACCATGTCATATTTTTGTGGTTCCTATTGCCACTTTTTGCAAATTAATTGCCACTACATCTGTATTATCTCAAGAAGGTTAACACTTTTGATCAGAATCTCTGCAAACTAAAACTTTGTATGACAAGGAACATTTACAGCACAGTATGCCTATGTCTTCCAAAACTTTTCCAAATGACAAGGTATGAAATAATTAAATTGTTAAAATCTAATAATACTTAGCAGACTGCTCTGAAAATCTTTATTACCATCAGCTTTTTATTTGTGCCAAACCATTTTGAGTAGTATTAATCAAAAATGGCTTGGACGTTTTTTCTCCATAATGGCTTTTCAAACACACCCCTTAATTCCATCTAATTCTACCAATTCCATGGCACTGGGCAAAATACAATTTTTCTCTTCAGGTTATGTGTAAAATCATATATCCCATGTGATAATTTCAAGTCATTCTAACAAATCTGTCAGTAAATATTTCATTAATGATTTGAGACAAAATTCACCCTATTTAGTGTCCAGTACCACCTTAATTTGGTATTGAAAATGTACCTTAACCCATTAGCACCTGCGTGTAACGTGTGCTTATCCAAAAGTTAAAATTTTGGAGAAACCGGAAAGGCGAACACAATGCGCAGTAAATTTTTATAATTTAAGTTCACACGGCAACCAGGTTGACAATCAGACATGGCTTGATGCTACTCTAGTTTACAGATTTAATGAATGCTACCGAAGAAATTACGATTCATAGACCCAACATTTCGACACTCCTGTCTAGTGCCTTCATCAGGGGTGATTTAAACGCTGCAACAAGAGTTCCTTTTATATAATCACTAATTAGCCGCCTTTTTTCTGACGAGATGTAAATAGGCGTCAGGAAGCAAGCCACCTCGTCACGATTTAAAGGCCTGTTGTTGGGAATAGTGATTACGCTGTCAAAAATTCTTGCGAATATGCGGATTTCATAAGAGATAAAACTCTTAACGCTTGTGAAGAATTAGTTTCTTTTGACGTTGTTTCGCTCTTCACTAAAATCCCAGTTGATCTTGCCGTTATAAGGTTGCGGAGGAGAGACTCAGAGAAGATGCTTCCCTAGGACAAAGAACTTCTTTGCCTGTAGAGGATATTATTCATCTGCTATCTTTCTGCCTCAAAACCACGCAATTTGTATAAAACGGGACTTCCTATCAACAAGTTTTTTGGTACAGCTATGGGTTCGCCCGTCTCTGCTGTCATTGCTAACATGGTAATGGAAGACGTGGAGCAAAGGGCCTTAGCCACTTCACCGCTTAAACCCGTTTTCTGGAAACGATATGTCGATGTTGTTATTACTGCGGTATCCGGAAATGAAGCGGAGCGCCTCCTGTCGCATTTGAATTTAGTAGAGCCGTCGATCCAATTCACTCTTGAGCGTGAAAAGGATAGACATTTGCCCTTTCTTGATTTAAATGTGTCCAGAGGGTTCAGGGTAATTTAGAGACAAGTGTCTGTCGTAGACTTACCCACACCGACAAATACCTCGCTTTCGATTCTCACCACCCTATTTGCCATGAAAAGTCTGTATCCAAAACTTTACTCAGGAGGGCTGACTGTCCACCATCTTCACTCGATTCCAAGGCTGAGGAGAGGAAATGTGTTTCTAATATCCTAAAGGCAAATGGCTATACAAAAACCTTTCTCCATAACTGCCAAAAACCAGTTACAACGAGCAACACTTCTGATGAAAGGGAACCAGCGACTGGTTTTGCTGTTATTCCTCACATTCAGGGTGTTACGGAACCCATCAAGAGAATTTTGAATAGCCACAACGTTAAAGTTGCTCAAAAACCTTTTCAGACTTTGGGGCATATTTTCGCCAAACCTAAGGATCCTGTCACGAAAGAACAACATACTGACGCCATTTATTTTATTCTTTGCAATACCATGACAACGAATACATCGGACAGACCAAACGTCAGTTTGGTACACCTTTGAAAGAGCATCAAAAAGCGGTTTTCTTTTGCAAAAAGGAAAATTCAGCTTTATTGGAGTACACATGCCTAAATAACCATACAATTGGGTGGGATAATTCAAAAATCATCACCACTAATCGGCGTTACCACCAGCGCCTCTGTTTGGAGGCTTGGCATATTAACTCCGCTTGCTTGCTTCCTGACGCCTATTTACACCTCGTCAGAAAAAAGGCAGCTAATTAGTGATTATATGAAAAGACCTCTTGATGCAGCGTTTAGATCACCCCTGATAAAGGCACTAGACAGGAGTGTCGAAACGCTGG